GCTATCCTACTAAACGTTCTCATTGCCCCACCTCCAGAGATCATCTTCTTCACTGGTTCCTGGGGCTCCAGAACATTTGTCTCACCTTTCTGCTTCCCCTCCCCAGCCGGATCCCCCACTAACTTTGTAAAACTTGCAAGTTTAATTTTTCAAAGACTGTTTCTGACAAAGCAGTGGGAATTAGATTTGGTGAAGCCCTTCATAAAAAATTGAAGACATGCTATATTAACATACATTGATTTATTCATAGTGTTTCATTACAAGTAAGTGAGGATCCTGTAATACCACGAAAGGTTAGGAGAGCAGGGGAGCGTGGTATATTATATTGACAGCTCGGTAGAAATTGAGTCGCTTTTGGATTGAATTTGGAGCTCAGGAAGGAGCTGGCTAGTAAATAAGGCATGAGCTTTTGCTCCCAGTGTCTGTATATCAGCAACGTTGCCACCAGCTCATGCAGGGTCACTAGGACTGATTTTTAAGAAAATACAGAGGTATATCCTCTCCACTGGTGCACTGGGATCCCTGGCTCCAGGCACACCTCAGAGCATCTCCCTCTTCTGTTGCTAGGAAACAGGAGACCAATTGTCTACCTTTCTCCACTTGCCCTCTGCTCTATAGTCACCCTGGACGTCTCTGTGTGTAAGCCTTTTCCCACCTCAGACCCTTGTCTAGCCTATTGTCTCTACATGGAAGCTGTAGGGCCTTTTCCTCTGCTCTGACTCCATTTTACCTTCAGGTTTAGATCTTTTCTCTCCCAAGTCCTTTCCCTGAGCATTGCATCTTGGTTCAGTATTGCTCCAATGCCGTCTCTGAGCTAATGATTTGATGCTGAGCAAATAATTGAGAAATGTAAGAGACACCAGTTTAAAAGCAAAACAAAACAACAACAACAAAAATGGGGACAGGAGACAGAAAGTAAGGTAGAGCAAACACACACACACACACACACACACACACACACACACACACTTTATTTTAATTATTTTATTTTTATTTTATTTGTGTGTGTGTGTGTGTGTGTGTGTGTGTGTGTGTGTGTGCCTGTATCCACATGCATGCATGTGTGCCATGGTGTGCATATGAAGATCAGAAAATAGAGCTGGTACAGCTAAATCCCCAGATTATCTTGGGACCTAGAGAATTAATGCAGTCTTTGAGAGTGCTCTAACCAGAAAAGCATGGAGAGTTGGATAGAAAGAGTATCCCATCAGAACACCCTAAAGCTGCTAGCCACATGTAGATAGATGTGCATGTGTAGAGTCTGCTTATGAAAACCTAAGTTATCAGCACTTAGAGTTTCTCTTCCTGGGCTCATTCTACTCCTAGCCAAGTCTGGCCTTTCTCATTAAGCACATGGCACCATTGCTACAACACTACTGCCTCACACAGGAAATCACTCTGTCTCTAACACATTTGCCTCCTATGCCAGGTATAAGAAATCATTCACTTTCTTAATTAAGGACAAGTGCCTCCTCTTTGGCCTGGCCTGGTTTGGCTGTTCTAGAAGCATGGAACATGTTTATAATTAAATGCTTTGTTTTTTTTTGTTTTTTTTTTGTGTGTGTGTGTGTAGATGCTATGCTATGCTATACATATGGAGGTCAGAAGACAACTTTTGAGAGTTGGTTCTCTTTTTTGACCTAATTGAGGAAGGGTCTCTGGTTTGGCTGCTGCACTCCATTCTCCTAGCTAACTGGTTGGTGAACTTCTTGCCTGTGCTTCCTGCTTGCCATGGGAGTACTGGGATATAGATGCATGCATGTCACCACATCCATTTTTAATGTGGGTTGCCATCATAAAACTTGGCTTAGTATGGATAACATTTTGCCTACTGAGTCATCTAGCTAGCTCTTAGTAAAATATTTCTTAATGTAACAAAGCAGACTTTTAAAAAGCAAATTGAAGAATGGTATGTATCAACGGCATAAATTGTCTTCTTCTTGAGACCTACTCAAGATCCAGCCAGTCAAACTTCTAGCATGGTGGGGTGGAACTCATGAGTTATTAACAGTGGATGACTTCTGAAGAGGGAGACATAGTTTTTTTTGTAGATATGGCTGGCTACTGGAAGGTCAGCTATGCTCCAGTGGGTGGCCCCATACCTATGAGTATGGTCAGTACAAACTGGATTCAGTAAGATATTGAGAAGAACAAATGGAGCTGGAGGGGTGTCTCAGTGGTTTCTTGCTGCTCTTTCAGAAGACCTGAGTTCAATTCTCAGCACGCACACCAGGCAGCTCACAATCTTCTGTGACTCCAGTGTCAGAGGACCGAAAGCTCTCTTCTAGTCGCTGTGGGTGATAGGCATGTACATGTTACCCATATTTACATATAGGCAAGCATTCATAAATTTAAAATAAATACATCTTTTTCACAAAGTGGGGAGGAGCTGAGGAGGTTAGGAGGGATCTGGGAGGAGATGGGCGGAAGACCAGGTATTAAATATGATCAAAATACTTTGTATGCAATTAATAAAAATATTATGTTACAATGATCCTGTCTAGGCTACTTTAACAGCTATGTGATTCAGGATTGTGGCCCTCACTCTGTCAGCCATGGAGGACAACACCCAGCACATATACTATTAGTTACATTGATAGCAGGGCAAATACAGAAATTGAGGGAAGACTGTCGGACTTAAATATGCTAGCACTGCTGTGACATCTACCTTGTGACCAGTGAACACAGACAATTTAGGATTTGATTGCTGTCAACTCATGAACTGGGTGTCATGGAGCATGGTCATCACATTAGCGTCTGTCTGTAGTGGGTCAGAAAGCACAACACTTAGTCCCCATCACAGATAGTCTGAAAAGTGCTGATTTAATTCAAGTTATTTCCAGTTGAGCATCTCATGAAAAGAACTATCCTGATTTTTCCAATAAGAAATGAGCAAACACTCTGGGTGTGTAGGATAGAATACATGATCTTCATTCTTTTTCATGTGTGAGGCATGCAGGTATGTGTGTATCCATGTTATCCTGGGTATGGGGTGTGTGTGCATGTGGAGGTCTGAATTTGGTCCTGGGAATCCTTTTTAGTCAATCTCCTCCCACTTTATTCACCAAGGCAGGTTCTCTGCATCAAAACCAGAGCCTCACAACATAGGCAGTATTACTCCAGGAATTACAAGGGTGTCATTATGCCCATATGACATCTACATGGATTCTGGGGATCTGAAACCCAAACCTTTTGCTTTCTGCCTGGCATTTACTTGGATTCTGGGGATCTGAACCCTATAGCTATCTTATTTATGTGGCAAGTGCATTAACCACAGAGCAATTCCTTAGCCCATGGTCTGCATTTTAACAAGGGAGCTACTGTACTTTGGAAAGTGGCTAGTCCAATTGGGTTATGCTCAATACCAGATACATACTAGATCTCTAAAACTTGAAATGAGTTATAGAATGTGAACTACCTCATTAAATGTTTTGGTATTGATAGTAGACTGAAATGATAGTATAATAGATGCATTAGGTCTGAGATGTATTAGTAAGATAAATTTGCTTTATAGTTACTACAGTATATTTTTACTAATAAAATTCCTTCTTTTGCAATTTTATACATGCACATAATATTTTCTGATTGCTTTCTTCCCTTATTCTCTCACCTTTTCCCTACCCCTTCCAGCTCCTGGCTTCCCAACAAATCTCTTCCCCAAATCCATGGCTTTTGTTTTGTGTCCCCTGCATTTAAGCTGGGCCATCTGTGTAACCCTGGGCGCAGAGCTCTCATTTGAGCCTGATGGACTCACCAGCAGGTTCATCATTAGATACTCTGCCTCCCTTCACATAGTCTGTTAGCTGCTGCTACTTCAGCAGTGAGTGGTAAGACCCCATGAGCTCCTCCCTGCTCCATAGCTAACTGTTCACTGTCATGACAGCAGATATGAATTCATGATTTCCATGGCAGTGTCATGTAGAAAAGAATATGTTCTGCAGCCCTTCTTTCTGTCTATAGACTCTTACATTCTTTCCACACCACTTCTGTGATGATCTCCATGATAACTTCCTTAGGATGTAGTTTGAATCTCTTGTTTTGAGCTAAACCTTCAACCGACAGACATTTATTCTCAGCGCCCTGTCCAGCCACAAGTTCTGCATTTTCCTGTATTCACCACAAAGATTGGCTTCTATAATTTGGGATAAGAGTATCCTTTGTGGGTATAAACATAGACGTGTAGAAGGCAGCTTAATGTGACACCTGTTTAGCTAAGAAACAGGGTAGTAGGTTTATCCGCTGGTACCTAAGACCTCTTCAGTCACAAATGTTTGACTGGGATTACAGTACCAGCAATGAATTCTCTCATGGAGTGGGTCTCAAATCCAAGCAGAGAGTTTTTGTTATTTATACAACATCCATACCATTATTGTGTCAGTGGGCACATGTTGCTGACACATTGGTAATGCAGTTCATAGAGTTCTCAGCTGGGTAAAACCTTTACTCCCTGTAGCAGCACTGTTTGACAATACCATGAGAAGTAACCAACTTCTAGGACTGACATTATCTATCCGTGGGAGACATCTGCCATCAAGTCCCTTATGTTTTTGAAATTGGATTACAAGGTAGCAAAGGTAGAAAGTTTTTAGGTGGCTTTTCATATCCCTATCATTTTTGTTAGCCCCTCCCTATTCCCCCATCTCCCCATCTTCTATCCCTCATCCTGTTTAAACCTTTCCACTTCCAGCAACCTCCCTAACCACCCTCGTTTTGCCTATGTGATACTGTCTCCCTTCCCTTGGGGTAGCTCCCCCCCCAAACTGCTGTCTTTCTAAACTCTGCAAGCTGGGGGCACACTCTGATTGTGTTAGACAAGTCTGTTCTATGGGCTTGTCAGTAGAAAGGACAAGGCTGTGCTTGTCTGTACTGTCCCAAGCAGCTCTGTAGCATGGTGCCTAGCTTGCCTCTCTTGCCTCCCTGCCCCTGCTGCCCCTCACCAGTGAGCTCCCTCAGTTACCGAGTAGGGCATTTACGTACTTGCTTATCACTTTGTCACACAGATTAACTACAAGGCTGTTGGCTCACTGGATCCAAGTGCTGACCTGTCCAGCCAAAGGGGGAAAGTGTTCAAACTCCGGAATGAAACCCACCACCTCTTTGTGGGTCTGTACCCAGGGACCACCTACTCCTTCACCATCAAGGCCAGCACAGCCAAGGGCTTCGGACCCCCTGTCACAACTAGGATTGCCACCAAGATCTCAGGTATCTCTTTTAGAAAGAGAAAGTGGGGGTTATATTCCTGTCTCCTGCGGCCTTCATGATTTCCTGAGGTAAAAAAGAGATAGAACTGACTGTCACTGATGATAATGGAACAATTTTAGACAATGACATCACTATTGGGTTGAAGAAAGTCAGTTGATCAACTTTCTGAAGTTCACCAAATAACATGCCCTGGGGTGGAAGAAGAGAGAGAGAGGCAGGGGGAGGGGAGGGAGGGAACACATAAAAGTTGGTTGGTAAATTTATTTTCCAAATAGAACACTTTCCAGTATAAGACACCCACAGCACTGCCTCTCCTGAAATACCTGATGAATGAATGAATGAATGAATGAATGAATGAATGAATTACTAAGCTGCAGGAACCCAAGATTGCAAGCCATCTCTACCAGCAGGTTACAATATAGGACCTGAAAGCATTAAAGCAGAACCACTGCAGAATGCTTGTTTACAGTGCCCATATTTTTGGAATATCTATTCAATCTGGTCTGCATGCATATGTATTTTGCATGTGGTTTTGCAGAAGCCATGATTTTTTTTTTTTGTAGCTTAATGTTTCCACTTATCCTCATCCCATAAGTATTTCCCACACTGCCGCATTGCCTTCATTATAACGTCTGTCAACTGGATGGACGTAATTTAATTAAACAGTCCCTTGTGGTTGAATATATTTGGTGTTTCTACGTTTTTATAAAATAGCGCTTCAATAAACATGTTACAAAATAAAGTTTAAATCATTGATTGGGATTATAACTTTAGGATTAAATTCAGAAATTGAAAAAAAGCATTAAAAGAGATGTGGGTTTTAATAGCTCATAATACAAATGGCTAAATTACCCTTTCAAAGGATTAGATTTAGTCACACTCCTGTGGGGGGAGAGGGTCTTGTGAAAAAAATGGAACTAATTCATCTTTGCTTTAATTTGCATCTGAATGTATTTAAGGAGGTTGACTCTGTTTTCACATCTTTATTAAGTACTTATATGTCCTTCACGTTCCTTTTTTTCTACATGAAAGAGGTGCTTTTTGATGAGGCTTATGCCTGACACCCCTGCAGACTATTGCACCTGGAGAGAAGCTGCAGGTGGGAAGTCACAGCCTCCCATGCAAGGCCCCGGATACCACAGGGTTCTCACTCACTACCTCTGTTCAGTCAGATAGGGATATCAAGGGGATGTGTTTAGGAACATTTAGTGTCTATGCTCCTCAAGTCCCATTTCTCTCTCTTGCCCAGCTCCATCGATGCCTGAATATGATGCAGATACACCACTCAATGAAACAGACACGACCATCACGGTGATGCTGAAACCTGCCCAGTCTCGAGGAGCCCCTGTCAGGTGAGGAGCTATCATTTGTGGCTTTCTTCCTCTATACCTCACACAGCTCCAGCTGAATCACATGACTTGCAATGTGTGTGGATGAGGTAAGCCAGAAGCCAGATTTTCCACAAGGAGGATGGTCAGCCACTCTAAGCCCAACTCAGAGGTGTGTGCTGAGCCAGGGTCTTCTCTCCCCACAGTGAACATCAGTTCAGAGCAGAAATCCTGGTAGGGACCTGAAATGGTAAGGGGGAGAACTTTCTGGAGTGTAATTAGGGAAAATGCAGTTAGTAGATGGAAAACCTAGATACAGTAATCTTTGAAAGATCACCCGACTCACTGCCATAATATACAGACAGACAGACATACTGTATTCTCCAAAGAATCTGCTCACATTTTTCAAATAGGATGAGTCTCAGGGGCTGATTCAGTCCAGAGCTATGAAGTATTAGAAACCCAAGGGATCGCACTGCTTATTTTAATGAGAATTTGTTGGGGCCCCAATGGGCACCCAGGCACCAAGACCATCTCATTGGCTAGGTTGATTTATACAAGTTCATAGCTATCAGGATTGGCTGGTATTTATTCTAAACAAGATCCCCTTTGTACAAGGCAACTATACTGACTGCTGGTTTTGCTCAGAATTCCAGGTTTTAGAACCTCAGTCCATTGAGAAAAGGAGAATGTCAGGTAGAACTTTCAGATTGGCTCAGTTCAGTCCACCAAGGACGTGCCAGGTACCTTACATACAGTGGGTAGCATGTAGGGGCTGCAGACAACAATGATTCATTCAGCACGTATCGTCATTAGTTTAAGTGCTTGGGATAATGGTATCAAACTAGTGACATGTTCAAAGGAAGCTGATCTGTAGTTAAGACACAGGTATATGGCATAGTTACAATGCTATACATCCTCATGGAAATTCTCACAGGGGCTTAGAAATACTCAGAGAAAACTCCCAGAGAAGGCGATACTCAGTATAAAGTTTGATTTGTTACAAATGTCCAATATGGACTAGGGTGGCTTGTTAAAAAATGAAACAGCCATGCCTAGTTAAGTTTGCTTTAATGTAAAGAGCAAGGACAGAGCAGTGAGATGGAAAGGAAAGGAGAGGCTTGGGCTGATTTGAGGACTGGAGGGATCAGCCAGGGATTAGCTTTAGTAGCATCACCTTGCATGCCCCCTGGGGGCTAGGAGACCAGACTAGAAGGGGCATCTTGAGATACATAGTCCTGATCTTCATGATCGAGTCCCATTCAACTCTACCCAGAAATTACAGTAGTGGGGAGAACAGAATGAACCAACAAAAATGCAGAAATGTTTGCCTCATTGGAAGCTAGGTGAGGGCCCTCTTGACTAGGCCCAGGGAATAAGGCCCTGGGACAGGTTGGAATGGTGGTGATGGCTTTCTCACTGCAGGATGTCAGAATTGTCCTTCCTCTGATAATCCCAAGCAAATGGGCACATTTCAAACCAACGTATTCTTTCCCTGCTTTCCTTCCAACTGCTCTGATACAGCATCCTCATTTAATTTTCCATATATGCTGTGAGATGGTGATCTCATTTTCAAACAAGAAAGCTGAGGTGCAGAAACCAGGTAAAGGGATCTGAAAAGTGCCACATTGTATTGCTGTGTGACTGTCATCTACATAGCACTCTCTGTATGCTCATCAAATTCCTGTAAAGCTCCCCCCACCCCAGTTTGAAGATATGGAAACAGACAAACAGAAGCCAGTTAGTTGGCTTAGACCATGAAACAAGTGGGCCAGGCAAGGCAAGATGGAAGCCCAGTTCTGACCCTAGCTCAACATTCACGTTTCTGAACCATGCTGTCTTGCTAGGAGGATAGTATGCTATTTGCTGACACTTCCATCCTTAAAAAATAAAGAAAATGTCACTGCTCAAAGGGGAAACGGTTGGTGTCTAGAAATCTCTGGCTGCTTTCCTTCTCAAGGCCCTGGTTCACTGAGAGTGGGTGTTTCCCCTCTGTCTCTGGAATTATTTTCAGACCAGAGCCTGGGCATTTGCCAAGAAGGGTAGGGGACAAAGAAATAACAAAGAAAAGTCCTTTCAGGACAACTGTTGAGAGAACAGAAACATTACTACATATTTCAGTTACAGTAACTAGATTCCATCTGAGTATGAGACCTGGTCATGAGGATATGCATCTTGGAGGCAGCTGGTCACAATAAATATTTATGGAGCACTTACTATATATCAGGAGGTGAGCTAAGCAATTTGGGTATAGCATGGAGCAAGAAAGGCTCACTATGCCTTCTTGGGGCTTATCATCTTGCAAGTGTGTCAAAGAACAGATTGGGAGGTGGGGCAATAAGCAAATAAGTAGAAAATGAAGTCACAAAACAAATTGAGGGGTGGGGTGAGCTAACTGTGCAGACAGAGAGGAAGTGTGGGCGTGATGGAGGGGGGAGCTGCTTGTGGGGAGGCTGGCATTGAGCTGCTCTGTAGGCTAGAAACTGGGAGCCAGTCAGAATAGCAACCTGGATATTTGACAACCTGGGACCCAAAGGCTTGATTCAGGCATTTGGCCGGTGGTATCACAGAAAGGGTATCCTAATATCTGATAGCACCTTATGATAAATGTAGTAAGCAGCAGTTTATAGCATGTTTCACATAACTAGAAGTGAGGTCAACATTCCCAACCCATGGAAATGATGTTTCAGAAGCCCAATTATACTAAATCAGTCATGATACATGGTATGTTCAGGTATCAAATTATTATTTTGCCTAGTAAATGAGTACACATATTATATGTCAATTTAAAAATAACCATGTTTAGGAAAATAATTTGATCTGGCAAAATGACTCAGCAGGTAAAGGTAATTGGCACCAAACCTAATGATCTGAGTTCAATACCTGGGGCCCACATGGTGGATGGAAAAACCTGATGCACAAAAATTGTCCTCTGACTTTAAACTTGTGTGTCCCTTCTTCCCCTACAAATCAATAAATCTAAATGTATAAAAAGACTTTCCTATTGATAGTATTTTTTACTTCTGTTGCATGGTGTGATTCTAAGTGTTCTGGTGGATAAATTAGTTGGGAAATACCATCTCTATTTCAGAGAGAGAAATTGAAATCTGAGATGTTAAATGATTGGTTCAAAGTCATGGCAGGTAAAGCCGGTTGTTTAGTTAATGTTATCATTGCTGTGGCACTTTAAAGAGTTTATTTAGGGTCACAGTTCAAGGGTGCAGTCCATCACGGCAGGAAAGTCATGGTTACAGGTCACTGAGACAGGTCCCACTGTGTCCCCAATTAGGAAGCAGTGAATATTGAGTTCCAGTGTCCATATCACTGTTTCTTCTTCACTCAGTCCATGACCATGACCTGTGGAACAGTGTTGCCCACATAGGTCTTTTCACCTCAGTTAACACGTTCTAGAAACCCCTCACAGAGGTTAAGATTTGCCACCGGGTCATTCTAGATCCTGTCAGGTTGACAACTTGCATTACAATCCACTAGTTGAACATAGACCAGGCTTTGAGGTCACTGCTGCCTGGTAATTCTGGTTTCCATTCCTACTGTGTCAGGGGAATCTGGAAGGACTTTGTCGGGGGTGCTGTATAGTGACATTTTTTATGTCTGGGTGATGACTTTTGGGGGGGAATCCTCTAACTCTGGATTATGTGAGTCCAGGCTATAACTTGTTCCTCTATGTATTTACTTACTCAATTCTCATAGATTCACACTTAAGCCTTGGCCTCCAGGCCTCTAGGCAGGCTTTTCTTCCTCCAGCCCACAGTGCTTAACTGTTACGATAAATCTTTCCACCAAATGCTGCCTGAGCCCCACCGCCACGTGTGAGCTTTACACCAGCTGCCCACACGAGTTAGGCCCAAATGAATACACAGAAACTTGTATTAGGTTCAAAGATGCTTGGCCAATGACTAGGATTCCTCATCTGCTAACTAGTCTTAACTATCATACATCTATATATTTTATAAGACTTATCTTATCGGACGCCTTATTGGCGTCCTTCCTTGCATACACAGTACATTCCCCATCACTTAACTGCTGACAGAGCCAAATTCCAGCCTCCCATTCTTTGGAAGCCTCCAGAATTTGACTCCTTCTAGTAGGACTGAGAACTCAGAGAGCGAGAAGGAGGGAAGCCTCGAGGAGCCAACTACATGAGGTTCCTGTACTCTCACCCTCCAGCCAAATCACCTCGGCAGCTTGGCCTATTTTTCTAATACTGCACAATGGAGATTTATTGCTTTTGTATTGCTCTCCTCGGGCCTTCAAAGATTTATTGGTTTTTAAGTGACAGAATCCCAGAATTGCTTAAAAGATCAATCAAATGGTGACTAGAATCTAATATTCAGCTCTGACTCAAATACGCTGAGCCTTCTTCCCCCACGCCCCACCTGTCACACTGATGTATCTGTGGTAACCTTCATAAGAAAGTAACTTGGCCATGAATTAATCACCCATAATTCAGTCCCTGCAGTGAGAATGGGGGCTCTGCAACAAAATCTGTGGGAGATGCCCCCCAGATACAGCAGACTTTTCTTGCAAGTATCCTTTCCTGGTTCACTCTTCCCTCATCCATTTAGTGACTTGCATTGTCCTTTGATTTGCAGATCAGCCCTAGATGGAGACAGTGCTTCCCCAGCCATATTCTTCTGGTCAGCAAGCATGCCCATGCTGATATGTCTGTCAAGAGCATCTCTGTCTCAGGTCCATCCCTCATCAAACCATTGGAGTGGTCCCAGGGAAGCACAAATTGGATCAAGTTAGCTTCCCTGCTTAAAATTCTTAAATGGGTCACTAGTTTTCTATTGCATTAAGTTGAAGCTTCTTAGCATGAAATTCAAGGCCTGTCAGCATCTGCCCTTAACCTTATTTCTAGTTTCATTTAAATTCACTCTGCCCCTTTACCAGGTTTTACTCAACAGTGACCCGTGTGATTCCTTCATGGCTCCTCCCTGAGCTTTTAACTGTATTATGCATGAATTTGTAAGCTTTCTTTGTTTTGAATTTTTTGTCTGTGG